TGTATCAGATACAATGTCTGCACAGGGTTCAGTGCCTGAGCCAAATGTTAAAGTTATTTGTTCTTGTCAATAAACTAAACTTTACTGTGACCCTATATTTTTATTATGCCACGTGTATTTTAAGATAGGATGTTATTGCTTGGACTTCTACTGAGCCCTGTAAATATTTGGGGGGCTGGGGAGGTGGGGAAGCAAATATTCCCAGAACTGGTACTGCAAGCCTGCCAATGTAAGGCAGCTAATTTTCAGGGGCTGCAGGAACCATCAGTCCCTATTGCCACACGTGTTTGAGCTTTAAAATCCTGCAAGCTTGAAGTAAGTGCCCTGATCAGACTGCCTTCTGGGTTCTATTTTTTTTTTTTTTTTTTTTTTGGAGGGGTAGAAATTAAATGTGGTGAGAGGTGAGGCCACAATTGAGACCTGCCATCTCTCTGCCTAGTTATTATTTACACGTGCCCAGCAGGACAACATGACACTCTACAAGTGCAGACGAGAAGGGCTACCCCTGGGAGGAGGCCATCACAGCCACACAAAAGCAAGGGAAGCAATGCATATTATGCTATGTTATATCCCAGCATGAAATCTCAAAATACATTTTCTTATTCCCATTTCACTGAATGGAGACTGAGGCACAGAGAGAATATGCAAGCTCACAGAGACCTAGGAGTAATATTAATAATAATAATAACAATAATAATAAAGGTTCTTCAACCTTTCAGCCATCTGTGCAGAGTTTCAGTGTAATTTCCCAATTAAAAAAAAATGATAGTGATCTTCCCTTGGAAGAGTTTTAACACCACCTAGTTCTTCTTACCTTTTGAGCAGCCTTGAAATTTGGCAGGGAAGCCACCAAGGGTATATGTTCTGGCATTCCCACAAAAGCCCATCTAAAGTTGGTTGAGTTACAAGCTTTTGGAAAAAAAATAATCAGTCTACAGAAGCTCAGGAGGCATTTAAATCTCTCTAAATTTCATGAAGATTCCACTTATGCTGGGCATTGATCCAGCCTGGATACTCCATGGTTGCTACTGAAAGCTTCAGGTAGTGCCAGGCACAGAGACTAGACTAAAAAACCCAGTGGAGAGGCTGCTCCTCATGATCTTCAGTAGCTGATCCTGGCTCCCTGCACCTAGACTGGGTGTGGGGGAATAGGAGCCGCTCAGTTTCCTTGTGCAGAGGAGTGAGAGACAGCTGGTTGGAGACTGGTTTCCTACAAGAGACTAGAGTAGGGTAAAAGGGACCACATCTGGGAATAGTGTGGGTCACCAATTTCCCAACTGCTGCATGTTAATGTATCATGTAACCCCTTTCCTCATACATTTCTGCCCAAATGAGAAAAGTCTGGCCCACTAGAGCAAACTTTTCCTTAGATCTTGAAGATCTTGAAACAAGCCCTGAGATACCTGACTTGTTATTTGTTTCCTGTAAGGAAGTATTTTAGAAAGTAAAATTGCCTCATGCTAGTCCGTGTGCATCCCAAAAGGTTATTGTTACTAGAGCTTTTCTCTCTCTCTCTCTCTTTTTTTTTTTTTTCTTCAGGCTGATGTTTGTGTGATGTGCTTAAGGGTTTCATCTGCTGACAATCCATATGGCTGTCAGTAGGAAACCTCACGCCAGAGTTTCTGACTAATTTCATTTTGTTTTCTTTAAGGAAAAAAAATTAGGAAAACCCACAAGTGTTTCTGAAGAGACAAAAGCCTAAATGAATAAAACATTATTCAGGGAACCTATTAAAGAGTCCTGGAGAAAACAATTCCAAGTCACCTCCAGAGCAAGTTAAATCTCTGTATTGCCTCAGGCAGTATCCTATGGAAAACTCACCATGAGGTGATGAGATAATGATAACAAGGGCTGAATGAGGCACCAGTGAGACAAATTAGCATCACCCAGAAAACCTCAATACACACCTCCTAAGTTAAATGTGTTCAAATATGCAACTTTAATAATAAACTTTTGATGTATTGTAGGCACATGAATGTATTTCACTTCAAAAATTTATATGCCATCACACTCCTTCTGCCAGGTTGCTTCCCTTGGATCCTCCCAGAGCACTCATGTCTTGAGAACAAGAAGAAATAAAAGTCTTCCTTCACCCCAGGTGTTTGCTCAGGCCAGACAGAGGGCCTCTCAGAAGGTTTTGCTGAAGACACTTTGCCTAGGGAGCCTGGTCCTGTGGCTGAAATGATGTGGTAGTGGAGGCTGGCACAGCTGAAGAATCTCACTCAAGCCAACAATGCTCTTCACGAATGCAAGACTCTGCTCACCTGGATCTGATTGCTGGATTAATTAGGCAGAAGGCAAAAAACAGTGCTGGTCTTCAGGAGAGCTGCTCTGGATTCCTTTGTGCTTCCAGCTTCTACTGTAGTAAAAATCTTCCTTGGAGTGCCCAAATCAGACCACAGAAAATCTGGGGGATATCAGTATGAAATGTGCCTCCTCCTTCCCCTCCTAGAGTTGAAAGAAAAATATTTAAGCTACTTAAATAAAAATATGAGTGGTCATTAAAATTTGTGGAGTATGTATTTATTCCCCATAAAAAGTGTGTGTTAGAATTGGACATTGCAAGGCTGCTCCATAAAGGAAATTGCTTCTTCTCTTGGCAGTCAGTGGTTTTCTTTGTGGAACTTTTCCATCAGAGCTTCAACGTGCAGTACTTCAGATACAGATTTCCTTCCGTCTCCCTCCAAGAAACTGAATGTTGACTGGGACTCGTGCCCTGGTTGAAATTTGAAGCACTTCACAATGGGATAAAGAGCTTCAGGCATCATCTGGGGGCTTTTGGGAGCAGCATCATTGGAGACCTCAAGGACGATCTGATAAATTGGAGTCTCCCAGATATCCAGTCCCATTTTTTCCACACTCTTCTGCCTGCTCTTTGAGCAGTCCTGCTTTGACCAGGCTCCATGACTCCAGATGGAGCCCACCTGGTCATTTTCTCTGTTCAGAATTTGAATAGACAAAGCCAAAAGACTCAACTCCAAAACTGCAAAGGCATCAGAGTATTCAAATTGCAGCATATAATAGTTTGGTGCCTTGCTCTGTGGCTGAATGTGCAGCCTCGCAAAAAGTCCTCTAGCCACCCCCACAGTGCAATGGGGGTGCTCAGTGCCTCAGGTGGGTTACAGCCCCTATTTCCATGCAGAAGTCCATCTGGTAACATTCCGGGGAACCCAGAAATGCCTTCAGGTTTTAGGTATTCTAGGCACCAAAATTAGGCAACAGTGGAAAGAAGCTTGGATCATAATTTTGGGTGTTACAAAACTCTTGAAGGATTCTCCCTGGACCCTGAATAACCCCATAGGACCTCACTAACCCCTCAAAAGACCCAACTTCTTCCTTTTCCCTCAGCCTCATTGGCAACACATGCCCAGGTACAAGGAAAGAGAGTCCTTTGATAAGCCAAACACTGTTTTTATCTCCTGCCTCTCCAGTTCTGGTAGCCTAAGGGATCTGTGCTCCTTTGACTTGTGTCTCCCTGTCCGCTGCCTACCTCCTCAGTAGCTACATCTCTGTCTGATGCCGACCACATCAGGGCCATTTATCTCGATAAGACGACTAATTTCCCTTGTCTGGTAGATCAGAAGTGCCAGTTGGGATCTCCGTGACACCTATATAAATCCAGATTAAGCAGGTTTTTAAAAGTAGAA